CTCAGCCTCCCGAGTAGCTGGGACTACAGGCGCCCGCCACCTCGCCCAGCTAGTTTTTTGTAGTTTTAGTAGAGATGGGGTTTCACTGTGTTCGCCAGGATGGTCTCGATCTCCTGACTTCGTGATCTGCCCGTCTAGGCCTCCCAAAGTGTATTAGCATTTTTAACAACCACAATGTTGCCAGTTGTACCAGATTACTATTACAATATTACAATCGCCAGGCGTGGTGAGTGGTGGCGTGGTGGCTCACGCCTGTAATCCCAGCACTTTGGGAGGCCCAGGCGGGCAGGTGACGAGGTCAGGAGATCTAGGCCATCCTGGCTAACACGGTGAAATCCCGTCCCTACTAAAAATAGAAAAAATTAGCCGGGCGTGGTGGCGGCACCTGTAGTCCCAGCTACTCGGGAGGCTGAGGCAGGAGAACGGCGCGAACCCGGAAGGCGGAGCTTGCAGTGAGCAGAGATCGCGCCACTGCACTCCAGCCTGGACGACAGAGCGAGACGCCGTCTCAAAAAAAAAAACCAAAAACTTACAATCATCTGTTGATCAACATCTGGGTGGTTTTCCGGTTTTTCCCTTTGTTCTTTTAGTCATGACTAACAGACCTGCTATGTCCTTCTTCATATCTCATGCCCATGGGCAGATGACACCGCAGTCCGGTGGCCCACCTGTGCCATCAGGCATCAGAATCCCCTGAGAGCTCTTCACGGACCACAGGGCCCCAGGGCCCCACTCCCAGTCGCTGGTGCAGCCATTCTGGGGCAGGGCCCAGGAAAGCACATTCCTAACAACCCCTCGTGATACTGAGGCTGCTTGCCCGGGCCCCACTTGAAGAACCCTGTTGAGGGTGGCACAGCTGGTCACAGGGCATTCTTTTAAACTGACATTGTTTTCCAAAGAGGCTGTGATGAACAGAGTTTACTGTTCGTGAAACTCAGATCGCAGCCAGGCACGTGTCGGTCACAGCCGGTACCGGCTGCTCCTTTGCATGGATGGTAATGTCCATGCAGGTTTATGTTCGTCAACTGGCCGTTGCTGGGTGGGACTGTCTTATCGACACATAAAGCCTACAGAAGGCGCCAACTCGCGTTACAGGGCTGCTCCTGACACGACCAAAATCACCAGGGTGGAATTCACACTCCTCTTACATAACCATAACAAGTTGCTGGGATCACAGGCACGTACCACCATGTCCTGTTAATTTTTTTGTAGAGGCAGGGGTCTTGCTTTGTTGCCCAGGCTGGCCTCAAACTCCTGGAGGAGGTGGTACTCCCACCCTGGCCTCCCAAAGTGCTAGGATTACAGGCGTGAGCCACAGGGCCACGTCTGTGGTACGTCTTCCAAGGACACGAATCCTATCAGATCAGGATCCTACCCTTATAATCTCATTTAACCTTAATTCTCTAAAGGCCCTTTCTGCAAACACAGTCACGTTGGGGATTACGGCTTCACATACAAATGTTAGGGGGACAGAACTCGGTCCATAGCATGGAGTCGCACAGTATTTGTCCTTTTGTGATTGGCTTGTTTTAACTTAATATGTTTCCCAGGTTCACCCACGTTGTGGCACGGGTCTGAACTTCACTCTTCTGGATGGTTGACTCACATTCCACTGCATGGACAGGCCGCATTTTGTCTGTTCATCAGTTTCTGCACATCTCGCCCCCTTGTTTCCACTCTGGGGATATGGAGGAAGATGGGGTGGGCGAAGTCCTGTGACCCCCAGGACCAGCCACATCGTTGGCAGGGGCCAGTGCAGGATGAAACCGTGGGCCCCTGGTTTTGGGCCGGGCCCTCCGTGTCTAGAGCAGCTCGCACCGCTGCAGCCCCTGGACGTCCCAGGCTGTGGACGCGCCCGGGGGACGCCGCGCTGAGCAGGACACCGGACAGGTCCCCTTGCTGGCGCTGCTCGCGTTGAACCGCGCGGGGAGCCAGGCAGCCCGTGGGAAAGGTAAGAATTGTTAGGCTTTTAATCTAAAGTCGATACCTGAAAAAATAATTCCGGAGCTAAGCATTTAATATCAACATTCAATAAAGCAGGAGATATCAGCCCGACGAAAACCGCTTTAAGTTTTCCGCGTTGATGAACTCGATCACCCCCCAGGGATGAAGAACCCACCAGCCGAGCCAGAGCCCCGTCACGTGACCCGGCGGCCACGGGGAGCCCTGTGCGCAGGCGCGGAGCCGGACTCCCG